GTTGTTTCATTGAGCTATCCCTATACTAAGTAGCGTAAACGCCACAAGTACTAAAAAATTTAATTAAAAATACAGTTGATATATAATTATGCTTCATATGCGAGGCGAAAAAGCTGCCGCATAGAAGACGAATTGTGTCTACTGATAATGGTTTCCAGTATAGGGTTGGAGCTGGCAGGCAACCGGCAGAGCAATCAGGCTGACTTTTTACGCATAATGGCATAAAAATCATCCGTATGTGTAATTTTATTTAGTTCGTATTATTTTTAAGACTTTCATGTGATAATAGGACGTTCAACTTATGAGCCTATGTGGCGTTGTTATACCAAGGACACGTACTCACACTTAAGAGGTCTCATGCCAAAAAAGTTTTGACGTTGGCTCCGCCCAAATTTGTGAAACAAATATATGCCTGAAGTTCGCGTGACGTGCGACAGGAGATGTTGAATTTTGCGCATTAAAAGTACCAATTCGTTTCAGCGGAATAACTTTAAAACTAAAGGGATTAAAAAAAATCCGTAGTGACAGTTGTCGATCATGCATAAATATAATTAATTATCTAATTTTTGTCCTAATAACCTGTAGCATTTCGAGGATAACTCGAAAAAATGTAAAAATTAGAGGTCATTTCGTGATTTTTATCTATCGAGGAAACTTTATTGTTTTATGTTTCTGATTAATGTCTTTGCTTGAATATATCGTGTAGTTACTCATACAATATTTCCTAAATACCTCTCTAAAATCAAATTGAAGATTAGGAATTTTTCCTGTGCTTGGCGTAAATACGTACTTGCATCAAAATAAGAGCGTCTGTAATATTGCACAAGTAAATATATTATGATAATCAAAAAGACATTCGTGTAATTGCATGCCGCTACGGTACGAATTATTTAACACTTTGTAAAAAAAATATTTTATTTTTTTATTAATCAGAAAAAAATACTAATAGTTTTTTGTCGCTTTTTCTCAAAATGGTGTTTTTGATATTAAAGTGTATTTACTGGTTTAACACGATGATGTTTTCTTTGAATTAAGTAATGTAAAACATACTTCAGGTTGGCATTACTAGACTTGGTTATAACTACGGTTTATTGAAAATAGTATGAAATGTTATGACTATCTTATTTCCAGGTTTGTCCTTCAATCTTTGCTATAAATGCAAGTTGTTGGATGTGTTTCAAAAACTTTTATAATAAAATCTCCTTATTATAAACGTTTTTCAAACACATCCAACAACTTGCTTGCGAAAGAAGGATGGAAGTAGTGTTGCCAAATTGCAAGGAAACCTTTCAGAATACCTCAACAACGATCCGCGTTTGTGGTGTGGTATTAGGACGCACAAACTCACACACATGCACACACTCACAAGCACACACACACACACACACACACACACACACAAATTTGTTAAAACAAGCGGTGGAGACCCAGGAGTCCTAAGAAATAGGGCTCTCCTAGTATAGTTCAGTTTCTCGCTAATTATATATTTTTGTCTGAAATGTGGTTATGTTCACATAACCTGTGATCATAAATTAAATAAGTTATATGAAATTTTATAATCCTCCTTTTTAGACTCATTTCATTCGTAAAATCATTAAACTCCCCTTCCGAAAAGTTGTTATTTTGCAGATATAGCTTTATTACACTAATCATGCGATTTAATGTTTTATTATATTAGTTTTTAATAATAGGGGTTAAAGTATGAAATTGCCGATTTGTACTGAAAATCTAAATTGTTTATTTTTTAAATTTTTAACAAATTTATTTAATCAAAATATTTGCCATTATTATCTATACATTGCTGCCATCTAATGGGAAGGTTATTAATGCCTTTGCGATAGAACTCCGACGATCTAGACTGCACAAACCGTGTGAAAGCATTTTGTACTGCCTCCTGGGAAGAAAACTTCTTGTCACGTAGATAATTGTCCAAATCACGAAAAAAATAAAAAGGTCTGGTGAATACGGAGGATGACGAATGGTTTCTAACTGCAGTTCCTGAAGGGTCAAAATGGTTTCTCGTGCTGTGTGAGGTCTCGCGTTGTCGTGGAGCAATAATGGTGAAGATCGATTCATGAGTCGGGGCTGTTTTACTGCTAGTTTTGTCAACATGGTTCGGAGTTCGGCACAATAGACATCTGCCGTTATTGCTTGACCAGATCGGAGAAAACTATAGTGAATAACACCATGCTGAGACCACCAAACAGTTACCATTACCTTTTTATTGGTAAGTTTTGCTTTAGGACACTGTTGTGGCATTTGACCTGGGGTCAGCCATTGCATTTTTCTTTTCCGGTTATCATAAAGAATCCACTTTTCATCACATGTTACAATTCGATCCAATATTCCTTCATTTCTGTACCGGTTCAACAAGGCAACACAAGTTTCAACACGCGTTTCTTTCTGCAGATCAGTCAAATCATGAGGCACCCATTTTTCGTATTTTTTTATTTTATTGATTTGACGCAAGTGAGTCAATATTGTGGGTAAGGTAACGTTAAACCATGCCGCTAATTCCTGGGTAGTTTGACTAGGATCGGCTTCCACTATCTCTCTTAATTCATCGTTATTCACCTGTGTGGGCGGTCTTCCTCGTGGCTCGTTCTTTAAGTCGAAATTTCCATCACGAAAGCGTTTAAACCAAAATCGCACGGTGCGTTCATTAGTAGACCCCTCTCCAAACGCAGCATTGATATTGCGGGCTGTTTCTGCCGCGTTAGTTCCGCGTCGGAACTCGTATTCAAAAATCACTCGAATTTTCGCAGTATCCATCTTTCTTGTCTAAATTGAATAACAAAAACAATTGAAAGTCGATATTCAAATGTTTCAAATTAAAAAAAAAATCACAGACACCATTTGAAAAAAGTTTCATTCGAAAACCTCAAACCATGAAGATTCTATGAAAATTCAAAGAACCTATTGCAATAAAACGGCAATTTCATACTTTAACCCCTAATATTAAAAGAACTCACTGAATCTATCAACCTATTCGAAAAAGCTTCCTATTTTTTTTGGTATTATAATAAAATATTTATTATAATACCAAAAAGTTGTAAATTATTACAGCGTGCGTTTTAGGCAATGTCACGACTCGAACATCCGCATTGAAAATCAACATCGATGAATGCAGATGCTGACGCAGATGCTGATGCTGATGTACCCTGGTAAGGATATAACTGCGCCAAGGACGGTGACAGTTCAAGAGCGAAAACCACTAGTGATGTAGGTTACCCAAATAGTGTTTCGTGATTCATAGTTAATGTTTTTACATCAAAATGCTGGACTGGTTGCTAAATAAATCACGAATTTACGACCATTGGCTCTAAATGAATTATGGAACAACGGTATGTCTGCAGATAACTTATAAATTACAGAATATAATATGACGTCGTAAAACACAAATTTTAATCGAAATGGAGGTGTTGATATTCTCATTAAAATAATTTTGACTATAAGATGATTAACGTATCTTCCAAATTTAGCGTAGCATATTATTATATTATTGATATGAAGTGATGGAACGGGCAAATCATATGCCTGGTGGTTGTATTATCCGTTTTCGCACTATGGGTACCTATTTTATACACTTCAGAAGAGAATATTCGCCACTAATCTATGGATATATTTACTTTTTTAAATTTAACTCACTGATAGAACGAAATAGACACGAGCTGCAGCTTTAGTTGTGAAGTGCTCTATTGAAAATAAATAGATCTGAAATATTTTATTTTTTTAATTTATTTATTTATTAGGCACACCAACAGTCACTACAATAATTCAAGAGTAAATAATACATTTCAGAAACTAATCTAATTGCGTAACCATTTATAGGCGAGCACCTCAAGCAAAAATAAACATGTGTGTATAAATTAAAAGGAAAAAGAAGAGGAAACAAAAAATAACAAAAACAATTTTAACAATTTTAAGACCAAGATTTGCCAAGCGCAAGTTAGGACAGTTTTCAGAAGATCGACAAAATGTTTGAATAGAGTTTCCTTTTCTCATTTTCATTCATTCAACAAATAAAAAGAAATGTCATTTTTAGTTCCCACTGCAATGTACTTACTAAGTTTTATACCGTTTTTAACCGACTTCAAAAAGGAGGAATTTCTCAATTCGACTGCATGTGTTTTTTGTATTGTACTTACGCGATAACTCCGACATTTGTAAATCCATTTTGACGATTCTTTTTTTTTTTTTAATTCGAAAAAAATATTCCACCTCTATGACTGGCAAACTAGGGGATGAATCCCGTTTCGCACACTTTCCAGTAACCGATTTCAATAAAACTTTGCAAATAGATGTAATTCCACGAAATTTTAAAGTCGGTTTTTTAGTACTCTGTACTGAGATTGTGTATTGAGAAATAAACATATTTTTATTATTATTATAGTTTCCGAATCTACTACAATCAGGCGTCTCCAAACCGTCTCCACCATTTGAGTTTAGTGAACTGGTGGTCAGGGCGACTGTACAAGTCGCCAGTGGTGCCTCCCGCTGACAAGGTCTATCACGACTTCCAAGGAAGGATGTTCGACGTTCCCGTATTGCATGTGAGTTAAAAGGCTATTCTATGTATAATATGTTATTACATAGCGTCTGTATTGTTCAAAGTTGTTTTGCAAATGGCATCACTTTTTTTAATTGACCTCATTAACTCACGTAAGAATATTGTAAAAAACAATTGAAAGATATCTAACTCAAACTCTGGCCAAAACCGTCCTACTCTAAAATATTAAGTTATTCTTTCCCTTTCACGGGAAGTTAAGTAAGTCATTCGTTTTTCATTGATTCTGAAAAAAAATGCACTTTTTGAGTTAATACACTATTGCATCAACAGTGCGACATATTTATTGAGTACATTCAAACCGGTGTCGATAAATGTCCCTCTATTCCCTTTTCTATATTATGGGTAGTAACTATTTATATGAGTATATAATACCGAGTCCTCTGAAAATCATCGCGCAACTGGGTTGCACGATGCGCTGCGCTACGTGGGGACGCTCTCTTGTAACTCTTTTGTTAGTAGAAATGTACACTTTAATTAGTGGAGAATATGTTTTATATTATACCTATTGAATTTTATAAAATGCGCCCGGTGCAGCTGGACGACTCCCGCCACCGCTTGCTGCATTTTCTTTTTATTATTTGTTTAAAGAAACGTAGCGTTATCTTGAACGGGGCAAATTTTTATTGCATTGTTTGTGTTAATGCATCGCCGCGTCGCGTTGTGTGTGAGGCGACCTTAAGCTCAGTAGATGACGGATCCGTAATAACACAGCGCACCCTCTATTATTAAATTTTTAATACATAATTTATTTTAGTTACTAAGTCGAATGATTTATTAATAAGTCTTGTGTTTAGTCGTACAGTATTGTACTGTAATTCTTTACAGAATAAATATATTTTATTTCCTTTTATATTACAATAATAATTAGTTTTATATCTATAAGAAAAATGTTGCTAAGAGCCTATACACACGGCGTATTTTTTACGCGCGGACCACGCGCTTTTTTTTATGAGGTCGACGAAGGAGCATGCACTTAAATTTAAACCCTATTCACTCTCGCCTTGACGAGGCCCAAGTTCCAACGTTCAAGGTATGCCTTTAGACAAGGAATTCCACTTCATAGCCGTTCGCCATATAAATATGGAAGCGTAACGCGTATGCGTGGCGTTATAGAGGCTCATATAAGAACATACACTAAAGTTTACTGGCTGCGACTAAATTACGTTTGAATCACGTTAACGTGCATCGTCCGCGCGTAAAAAATACGCTGTGTGCATAGGCTCTAATATACATACATTTATTTATATTTAGGCCCCGCCATGGCACTTTGTTAAATATAACAATGACTCTACGGTCAACGTAACGGGCGGACGCGATGACAAACTACTGGCATTACTTGCTAAGAAACTGAATTTCAGGTATGGCACATAAAACTAAATTCTTCATTCGCATCTTGTGCAAAAATAGTGTCAAGATCATTTCCATCACAACTGTATTGTATTTGTTATAATTAAAGTTATTGAAGTGGGCAGGATTTACCGCGTGGGCCTCCACGCCTTAGAGCGATACCATGCGTTGCGTAGTTGCAACACTACGATTTCGATGCACCACACGATTAATGCGGTGTCTTTTTTTTTATAATGTCAAGTGACGGGACGAACAAGTCATGCGCCTGATAGTAAGCACGCCTGTTCATAACTGTTGCAGTGCCACTCAAAGCTTTAAATCGCAAAGATCTGAGCGGTACTGCCAATGCGCCCGTCACCCGAGACATAAGTTGACAAATGCTATGTCCCTGTAATTTCACCAGCACCCTTGCCCTTCAAAACTGGAACGCAATAATCCTGTTTTTAAGTTGATATCGTACTTCAACCACCTGGCCATCAAATTTCTTGTAAAGTACAGAATGATTCTATGAACTTCATAAAACTGCGTTTGTTGCATCGATTCAGCGTCATTTATTATATTTCAGATATAGGTATTACGATCCGCCGGAACGAAGTCAGGGCTCAAGCATTTCTGGCAACGGAACTTTCAAGGGAACACTCGGGTTAATTTGGAAACGTGTAAGTATGTAACAAATGGTTTTAAAGATTTTAAATGACTCACTTCATCTTTCTCACTAGCACAAAAACCACGTAGGAGTAATTCAACTTATCCTCCTAACACCCTGCAAACTACAATAAGAAAAGCGCTAAACGCCCAATGTAGTATTTACGTTCTGTTTTCAAATTCAATTTTGGTTTTCATTAAGTTTCAGTTTTAAAATTGAATTTAAAACAGGACGTAAATATTTTAAAACAGTCGTGAACAAATAAAAGATACTCCCTTGGGAAAATTTTCCCAATGGCGCTTTCACCCTTTCTACGAAACTCGTACAGTTTTTCAAAATACGTTCGTATTGATAGATTGAATTACCTCCTCGTATTCTTGGTGTAATAAAAATGGCAACTTCTCAATAGAGAAGTTTAAAGATTCTACGAACAAAATTAATCGATAACTTTTTTATGCTTAAATTGGTGAGTTGGGCTGGTTTCAGAGCAGTGCGGATTTATGTACGGACCGTCCGCGCGGAACACCGGAACGGAGTAACACGTGTGGCGATAGAACATCGTTTAACAGCGACGCGGATTGCTCCGTACGGAAGTTCATTGTAGGCTACTGGCTACTGTCTTCCTTGAATATCCGCACTAAGTTTGTCACGCGGATCTCGTGTAGGTATTAATAAATTGTAGAAGTATAACAGGTAAAGGTGAAGGAAAGAAGAAAGGAAGGACAAGTAAAGGCCTAAAAGGACCCGTATTCGTATTATTGTTGCTTATCACATGATTAAGAGCACGTCTGCTCGTCTCGAGAATTTTATATGGAGTGACGACGGAACAAAGCAAAAGGATGGCGAAGAAAAGAACAAGACAACGATTCAAAATTTCAAATGTAAGTGGCCAGGACCCAGAGAAAAGGGTGATAAAAAGGTGGGATGACGATGAAAGAGGTCGCATCGTCGTAAGTTAAATACTCGATTCAGACCACTGCGGATTCTACGCATGCGGATGACCCGCAGGCGAATAGTCCGTATGGACCATACGCACAGCTGTGAAACCAGCCTTACAAAAAATCACGTAATATATTTATTTATTTATTTTATTTTAGACGCTTTAGATGTATGACCACGTCGCTTTATGCCAAGGCCAATTATCATGACCAAAAAGTCACCACTTTACCGGAGTCATATTCAAATTTGAAGTCTTTCAGTATAAAAAATAACCAAACACGTATGTAATTTGTTTTACAGAAAGCGGATTTCTTTCTCGGTGACGTAACAATGACTTGGGAGCGCCTTCAAGCTGTAGAGTTCTCTTTTCTAACCCTGGCTGACTCTGGTGCTTTTCTCACTCACGCTCCGGCTAGACTAAGCGAGACTCTTGCTATAATTAGGCCTTTTCGATGGGAGGTAAGGTCACTTAATAATTACGTAATACTTTTGTCGTATAGACAGAAAGCTACATCGCATTTTAAACAAAGATAAGTCTGACTTTTTGTGTCTCCATAAAGCATATTCGATTTCCTGACAATTCCGATAACACAATTTCGGAAGGCAAAACTTAGTTGAACGCTGAATAAAACCTGGACCAAATTGGTCGAAAATAATTATTTTCGACATAAAGTTAACATTATACATATAATAAAGGTAAATGGAAACTGAAACTGAACGCAAACTTATACATCCAGACCGTTTCCAATGTGCGCCATTTCACTCGGTTCTCTGTTTGTCGCATCCACTTCTTGCCAGCAAATCGTCACTCTACCTAGCCAGAGCATGTCCTAGAGTACGTTTGCCAAGCTGTGATCTCCACAGATATAGCTAGCCCACTACCACTTCAGCTCACTTCTTCAACAAGCTATGTCGATGACATTAGTACCCGAACTGTCGAATATACTCAATACGAATTCTTTCGTTATAGAAACTCCGAGCATAGGTCGCTAGGCTACTTTAAACCACTGCTGGACATGAGCCACTCTCTAGACAAAAGCTGCATAGCGTTCGGGGAACAAGTCTGCAGGCAGGAATTCCACTCCATAGCCGTTGGCCATATAAATGTGGAAGCAATACGCTTCATACGAATCTTTTGAATATCCACAACAAAGGCATGGAACAGTCTACACCTAGTCCCACGATAATGAAATGGGGAAGGCGGAATTATATGATATAATTCTGTCGCACATTCTCCGTGATATATCCTGTAGAACAACATTAAGCAGGCAACTTGACAGTGGTGTACAAGGCTCTGCAGTCCGAGTCATCTATAAACCTTTTGCCACGATTTTCCAGTGAATCCAGGTATAATGAGATATCTTTCATATTTTCAAGGTCTGGCCGCTAGTCTGCGCTACGCTTGTAGTGTCCGGCCCAGCGTTGTGGTTTGTGATCGCAGCACATTCATTATGGCAACGTCGTCCGCAAAACCAGCTGAAGCTGCTCAGTAATTGCTGTTGGTTTACTACAACGCTATTTTTAAGGCAGTGTAAGATGAGAATCTTTTCTTGTATTACTTTGTTCAGTTATTACCGCACGCTATTACTGCATAACTTTAGCTGGACAGCTATCTTTGTGCAGGACTGGACTGATAAGACTTTGAATTGGTTTCGCTTTATCACATATCTGGTCTCTATCAATGTATACGACTAGAGTATTAGAGAATCGTGTTTAGTGTTGGGGGTTTTCATAATTTTAAGTTTTACTTTTTAGCATCCAGCAAAGAGCCTTCGAACACACATAAAGCCAGGCTAGTGTCAATCCTAATCTCCCTAGGAGCTACTTATGTTATCGGTGATATGTACTCAGCCAATCTAACAAGTCTCCTAGCAAGACCAGCAAGGGAACGACCAATCGGGACATTGCAAGCCTTGGAAGAAGCCATGAGAGACCAAGGATACGAATTAGTAGTGGAAAGACACAGTTCTTCATTAACTATTCTACAGGTTAGTAACGATGGTAGTAAAGTGTTATTAACGTGTTCACATAAACCGGAGTAGCTTCCTCCTATAGGTGCATGTGAGACGATGTCCATTACATGAGGATCATTTGTATAATACATTTTCTTGTGGCATTATAAAAGTTATTAAAATTAGACTTATATTCTTATTTAAAAAGTCTTCAACTGATTCGCCCTTATCGACTAGTAGCAGAAGAGCTATTTGCGAAAGAGCTCGTCCATGGAAGCACTGCCACCTTACTTATTTCTGCCGCCAAGCAGTAATGTGAGCACTGCTTCGTTCCGGTTTTGAAGGTAAGAGTTCTGGTGAAAATGCTGGCACATGAAACTTGTCAACTCATGTCTCAGGGTAGCAGTGGGAGTGTTCCTCAGATCTTTGCGATTTACAGCTTTAAGCGGCACTTCAACTGCTATGGACAGGCATGTCGCTTAACACCAGGAGGACGACTTGTTCATCCCGTCACTAGGTATCATAAAAAATAAGACTCCTCGATGACTCATCATCACATGGATAGATTTAAATTAATACAAAAGTACACTTTACAACATAGCCCTTCAGACTGTTTCACATTGCTATCTAATTTCCAAAAATCACCAGTAAGTTCTGCGAATTTTGAACAAGTTTACAAATTTTAAATTCTTTGACATCGTTTTCGTCGTCGTCTTCGTCATTGTTAACTGCCTCAGTGGCCATATGGTTACCATGCCGGAGCGCACACGCAGAGGTCCCAGGTTCGATTCCCGGGCCGGGAGAAATATTTATATGGCCTACATTTATTTCTCTCGTCAGTTTGGGTGTAATTTGTGGTTATCTATGTGTGTGTCCATGGCACCCGCGACCCAGGGTTTCCCTAGGGCTATGTCGAGTGTGTGCGTTATTATTAAAAAAAAATATTATTATTAAAAATTATCCTAACACTACACCAAATAAAATTGAAATAGTATTTATTACAGCTTAGCAATTAATAACCCCTGTATGTACAGAACGGAACAGGCGTATATGGACGGCTAGCTCGTCTAATGCGCAGGCAACGAGTGCAGCGCGTACGCAGCGTCGAAGTCGGCGTGCATCTGGTGTTGTCACGAAAACGCGTCGCCATACTCGGTGGAAGAGAAACGCTGTATTACGATACTGAGAGATTTGGTAAATGTATTTGCTGTAATCATTGACTTACAAATAAATGGACGACGGGTCTAATACAAAAACCACGATAAAAATGTCCCAAGTCAACCTATTCGAAATTTAAATTGTAATGTCATCGCAGTATCGCGCTGTCAGTCGAACAAATGGAGACTAAAGCGGAGTTTGGCGTTCTGTATACGATTTTAGCGCCTTACAAGTGCGGACCCGACGTCCATATAATTGTAAGTCAATGGCTGTAATATAATATTTACGTCCTGTTTTAAAATCAACTTTGGTTTTAATTAGGTTTAAGTTTTAAAACTGAGTTTAAAGAAAAGAACGTTAATATTTTAAAACAGTTGTGAAAAACTGCCGTTGCCCTTTCTATAAAATATATACCGTCGGTATTTTATTGATTTCATTTAGTTTTTTTTCTTAATTTTCAAAATGTGTCCCCTCAATTCCACAATTTTGAGTTACTGCGGTATTTGGTTTCGTCTGCGAAATAAGTCGAAGTAAAGACTTCTCTCTTACATTTCCTAGAAAAATAGAACTGAACAGATGTCGCAACAGACTTTAAACTTAACTATATTAGTAACTTAAAGACTATTTTGGTTGTAAAACAATTTTCGCATTTTCAGGGTCGCACAATTTCCACCTCAGTGAAAAGCTGTACACGAGATATTCAGCCATCGCTCTACAAATCGGATGTCCTTACTTGGAAACATTCAACAACGTGTAAGTGTTCCGTCTTTTCTAACTTTATACGAAGGAACATTGGTTCTATACGTATACCCCATTTTATTCCTCTGATTCTCTTTTTGCGATTTAGAATTTTGAATAATTATAAGGTTTGATAATAATAATCTTTATTAATCAAATAAAAAAAAATACATTGCCGTGTGGCTCTGACTGCCAAACCACGAATTATTTAATAGTTACTACGTACCAGATATATCATTCTCATACAAAATCGAAAATATATACGCTATAATAGCCAATTAAATCTGACTAATGAAACCAGGCGCTTAGTACGACGAAAAACGAATTGACCACACGCTCAGAGAAGTGAAAATAACGTTGCCTGACGTGTGCAGCCGTACGGAACCGATTGCTGCGATTGTACAAGGATTGTAATGTAAATTAAAGTCTTGTCTAAGCGGTTGCACTGTCAGCGGTAGACACTTATTGCGTATCCTCGAGCGAGCGTCGGAGCCCTGGCCAAACTACTATGATACTGTGTCTTGGAAGTCAGATTCTTCTGATACGACAGTTAGTAGATATTCTATTGGACAGTTTACGAGAAAAACAAAGTTTGATAGACATTAATACTAAAAAGAAAAATAAGATAAACAAACAGTATGAAAGAGTATATAATGATTGGCTTTTTCTGGTGGAGTGATTCTTAATTTTTTGCGGGAGTGTGTATGAATCTGTGTGTAAATGCGTGAATGCGCGCGTTTGTCCATGTATATGTAAGATTTTTTTTATGATATCAAGTGACGCCACAAACAAGTTGCGGGCATGATGGTAAGCGACACGCCTGTCCATAACGGTTGCAGTGTCACTCAGAGCTTTAAGTCATAAAGAACTGAGAAAGATCTAACACTACTACGTGACTGCGTCCGCAACGAAGCCCAATGTCAGTTTTACAATGAAAGTAATGTCAAAATTCGACTCGAAGGTATCCACAAATACTTATCTCAAACCACGATCTTCGATCTTTGCTTCGTATTTCGTGGTAGACCTCCGGGTGGTAAGCGACATGTCTGTCCATAACAGTTGCAGTGCCGCTCAGAGTTTTAAATCGTAAAGATTAACTAAACAAGTCACTGCGCCTGTCACCCTAAGACATAAGTTGACAAGTCCCATGTGCTTGTAATTTCATCAGCACATTTACCCTTCAAAATCAGAACGCAGTAATGCTCACATTAGGGCTTGACGGTAGAAATATGTAACGTACTTCCCTGGACGAACTTTGAAGGAACTCTACTACTAATAAAGATGGTGCATGGGCTATATTTGAAAGTGCTGAAGTATGTTTGCTATAGTGACCGAGTATATGTAATGTATTCGTGAAGGTGATGGAACGCTCATACTGAATGATTCGTAGAATAGACTGTGTATATCTTTGTGATTTTAATAATAATATCATTTTAGAGTAATGACATTATTCGAAGCGGGCATTCTTTCGAAGATGACTACAGACGAGTATAGAAACTTGCCGCAACAATCTCGAAGATCCGAACCGGTAACTGAGAGCGAAAATCAGGATAGCACCGATGTCACTGGAGACCCTTCAACGTCAACGTCACAGGTATACAAGTACACATAAGAATTGTGAAACGGTATATATATTATAAAAATTTACTGTCAATGTCTCTCATGAATGTGACATAAAAGATTCTATGAATTCTTTTGTTATAGGTGATGAAACTATTTTTCGGATATAAAACCGAAACGTTGCTTCGTTTGAATAAACAAAGATACGTGATTTAGATCCGAAAATAGTTTCATTTGTTATGTGTAGCAATCACGAAAAGCTATGAACGCGATAATTCTTTTATTTTGAACACCCGACGCAAAAACAGTGGAGTTATATAACCATAATGCACACACTCAACAACACTAGATAACCACAAAATACACCCAAACTCACGATAGAAATAAATGTAGACCATACAAATATTTCTCCCGGGAATCGAACCTGGGACCTCTGCGTTGCAGTGCATGTTAACCGTTTGAGCATGGAGGCAGTCATAAGTGAGAGAGTCTCTGGTATCGTAGCTCCCAAACGAATGGATTGATCTTAAAGACTCTTTTTTATTTGAAATATAATTTATTCGAGATGTTCCTTAGCTATATATGTTTGATGAACATCTTTTCAACTGTTTAAAGCTGTTGTAGCGCGTTCCAAATCCGAAACTATACAAATCTAGAAATCACTTCAGATGTGTACTAATACCAATTCGAGAATATACGAATATCGCATGTACAACTCTAGAAATAAAATGACACTTTGGACACTTATCACACCGTCATTTCTCGGATTTGGAACTGGGAGTCTACTCTCGATCTCTGTCCGCCATCCGTCCGAAACAATTACTGTCAAATAAGTAATATTCGACAAAATTAAAAGACAAGTATCAAGTATGAAGCTTCATTCGCATCACGCGTCTTTTCATTTCGTCAAGTATTGCTTATTTGGCAGTAATTGTTTCGGACGGATGTCCGACGGATATCGAGAGTAGATCCCCTTATTTGGCAGTAATTGTTTCGGACGGATGTCGGACGGAGATCGAGAGTGGACCCCTTTATACGAATCGGGGTCAAACGCTCGAAGGGTCTCAATCATGAAATTAATATAATTTGTTTTTCTTCCACTTGTCAGATCGACTTGGAATTTGCTATACTATGGAATTCCGATAACATTACCTATGGTAAACCTTATTAAGGCCAAAAATAAATGCTTGCATGGGGCACGCTCTGTTCTCTTAACGCCGTTGAAAACAATGCAAAATAATCAGAGCTGAATATCTTCAACGATACCTTAAAAATGTTCAATATAACTTGTTGACAATCCTCCGTAATTGTTCAGTCTGTATGTGTTTAAAGCTTTTTATATTTATTTTTGTTTTGTTTTTATATATTTTATAATATTTGCCTTCTAATTAAAATTACAATTAATTTTTTTTTTTACTTTAAAATATTTAAAATTATATAAAGTTGTGTGTAGGTACCTCAAACGTTACGTACGGTACGGTACGTTCAAAACTATATTTATGCTGTTGTTGCTGTACCTATACCTTTATGAATAAATAAAGAAAACCAAGGACTCTTCATCCACTTCTCAATGAACATAATTAAAAATGAAGGGTCTAAAATCAAAATCGGATAAAAATGTGTTCGAAAGATTAATTTTCCACGTCTGTATCTAATGAGTATAATGTACCATTTTTTTAAATAAATTGATTTTGATTCGTTGCAACCATCGCAGGCGCAGCCGGAGCCCACGAAAGGCTTGGAGCCAGTGTCTTTGAGAATGTTAAGAGGAGCATTTTTACTGCTTGGAATCGGACACTTTCTAGCAGGTATAATAAACCCATATATACTTTTTCAGATTTACATGCATTTTGCTCCTTATTATAAGCATTTTTCTCAATTGCGTATGCGCTTGTGTGAGATGAAATAATTTCTTTATAACATGGTGACTGAATGAAATTGTGCCTGATATAAACAAAATTCAAAATATATATATTTATATATTTTTCGTTACAACTATCAACGTTCTTTATGAGCAGCTAAGCATATTTGTGCAGGTATATGGTCTGTAATGAAATGACGTATTATTATGGTTATAAACAACACTGACGTCATCAGTGTTGTTTTTGCAGAAACAGATTCAACACTAAATGCGGCAATATGGAATTTCAAACATAACGTCAAAGAGACCCAAGTGAATCTGTGTCCTTCAAGTCTTAGGTCAGTTTCCAGATTCTTTTATTGTAGAATATTTTATTCTTATTATTGTTGACATTAAATTGACAATATAACTAATTGTGTTAAATTATTTTAATTCGTCGAAGAACTAAAATAATTTCAATAATCACTTAATTACACAAAATTATAAGTAAAAGCAAGAAGAAAAATTGACGAGGTGCAAATTCAGAACGCATGCCTTCGGGTGCTTTATCTTCGAAGTTTATCTTCGTAAACTTTTTCTTTTCATTAAAAACACTGATGTTTTATCGTTCAACTGTTTTTATTTCATCTATCATTTTCCTCCTGTGAGATGTGAGTTTCGCTCGGCAGCGAAGTTGTTTTGCGTCTTGAAATCTTTGCTACGCTCATGAATCTACTTTTGAAACAACTTCTACTTTTTTCAATCTTAGCTTCCTTTGCCTGCTCAGGTTTGAATTAAAGCACTCGCGTCTAACAACAATTTGTAACCTTGCATAGCAAATAACTGTCAAAGCTTAGAATAATAACGAATAGAAACCTAGCCCGCACACGCTAAGTGAGGCAAATTTAAGCGCTCCTAATGGGCCTACACGAGCGGGCTTAGAGCTTAACTTGCACCGCGAACAGCTCAAGAATTTTAGCTAAAAGTGACGAAATGTGCGGTAAATGAGTGTAAAAATACGTCAGACAAACATAAAATAGATACTAACATCACATTCCACAAGGAAGTAATGCGTTTCAACTTGTATTTTTATATAAATATTCACTAAAACCGAAAATGAACTTACTACTAAAACTAGCCTACATGAATTTGACTTTTGCCTCACTTGTGACAGTTTGTTTGATATGAAACTATCATTCTATGCGTTATTATTCTAAGTGTTAAAGTCTCTTTTTGTTCTTTTTTTAAATTAAATTAGTTTCATTCTAATGATGCTCTGTATACTCGATAATACAGAGCTAAGCACCTAATTAAATTCCGTAACAATATAAAAATACGGTCACTTGTGTTTGGTTGTGTGTGTGGTTACGCGTGTGTGTAATGAAAAATCAAATATTTATCGATTATATTCAATATATGATTGATAATGATTAAATTTTCTACTTATGACGTTATATACATTCGAATAATATATTGATTCCGTTTACAGCTTTAACACTTGGAATAGAGATTCAAGTGAACCGTCGTAAGAAGCGTCAGGTGGTCACAGTTGAACATTCTGACACGAAAAAGGCACCGAAGAGAAGATTCTTTGAGAAGACACAAAAGTGTATCAAACAAGGGATAGGGAGGTTCTTCAGAGCTATTTGCACACAAATTGATAGAGCTTTAGGTCCTGGTGTGTGAAAATTAGGTACAAATTAAGCTGAGTTGGGTCACGTTGGGTAAAGTAGGTTGAGTTATTAGGTTTATTTACTGCGTTCTATAAACAGACAAAGTAATAGAGCCTGTTAGAAATTACGGTGTTCTAAATTTTGTTTTTTGACAAGGAGAGTTACCAATGAAGAGAAAATAAAGGAATACACACATCAAAAAAAGTTTGCGATCAACAGCATAAGCTCCTATAATTCTTTAAATTTAACTTTATCAAGAAAAAATCTATGTTGTATGCTTTCTTTAAATAGGAATACCCTGTTTGAAATTAAAATATAAAACTATTTTTTATTATTTATTTTAAAAAATTGAGCCATTAATCATAATGTAATAGTGATAGAAATTTCATAGAAAGAAAAAGACTGTTTAATTAAACTTAAACAACAATTTATTATTAAAAGGTGTGAATTCAATATAAAATAACTCCTCCCCTGGCTCGAATACATGCGAAGATCCTCCTGGGCATGCTGAGGATCAAGTTATCCAGCATTTCCTGGGGTAACCTATCCCATTCTTCAATAGCGGCTTCCCTGAGCTCTGGAACTGTCTGGGGACGTGGCTCACGGTTCCATACTGCTCGTTTAAGAGCATCCCACGCGTGCTCTATTGGGTTTAAGTCGGGCGAGCCGGCAGGCCAGTCTAATCGTGTGATATCGAATTCTTGAAGAGCAGCATTGACTCGTTGAGCTCGATGTGCGGGCGCATTATCATCGACCAGTACAAATTGGTGCCCATGGTTTACTCGGAATGGTCTGACGATATCATCAATAGCAACTGCTTTGTACATGTCTGCTGTCATGAAGCCCCGATATGGGATCAAAGGCGTTCTAGCTCCAATCATAATGCCACCCCAAAAGGACACCGATTTTCCGCCTTGCTGAACTGTTCCAGTGGCAGTTCTTTGTCTTTCACGGTCGCCTGGTCTTCTCCAGACACGGACACGTCGGTTATCTGGATGAGTGCTGATTCGGGATTCGTCAACGAAGAGACAGTTTTGCCAAATGTTTTCGTCCTCACCTTCTTCATTTTGCCGAAGTCTAGCCCACTGCAATCTTCGTTGTTGACGTTGCCGGGAATTGAGCGGAGCTCGCCAAGACCTCCGTGCTCGTAATCCAGTCTGGTGCAAGCAATTGCGAACGGTCTGCGTGCTAACTTCAAGCCCAGAGGCGGTCCTGACTTCTGCTTTTATTTTAGTGGCGTTGATTGTTGGATCACGGGCTGCCAGCAATCTAATATAGCGCTTTTGGGCAGCTGTCAAAACAGTTGGGCGACCGCTGCGGGGTCGGTCAGCTAAATTCCCCATTCCGTGATACCTCTGCAACGTAGCCACGACACAGGATTGGGATATAGCAAGTCTGCGTGCTATTACTCTCGTGGTGTATCCTTCTTCCCTCAAAGTTACTATTCTAGCTCGTAAGACCTCTGATAATCCTCTTGGCATTTTTTCAATCACAACTTTCCGCGAAAAATATCTTGAATCGCTTATAATTGACTAAATCAGATTTCTGAATGAGCGTAAGCTAGGACTGAAAGCCTTTTTATATGAAAAAACAATTGAACGGGGTCATTGTTTTATGTTCTAATTTATTTTTAAATAAAGAATCTAAAAAGAAGAAAAAATCATAATATAATCTACAGTAACAAAAAAGATTTCAGTTTTTCGAAGTGATCGCAAACTTTTTTTGATGTGTGTACTTTAATTTTGTTACTGTTGACTGGAATTTCTTATTATTATTATATTCTGTTATTTTATTTGGTTTTAGACAAACTTGATATTGTGTTTTTTATACACTTTAGGCTTTAGAAGGAAACAAAGAAATAAGAAAGAAAATGTAATGTTGTATTCCTGTAATTTAAATAGCTGTGACTTTTAGCAGCGATGCAAACGCGATGCAGTAGCGATGCTGTAGCGATGCAAACGCGATGCAGTAACGATGCAGTCGCTAATCGTCTACCTTTACACACGCGCGCGACTTTCAGACAGCGATGCATACGCGATGCACGTTTTAAATTACTTAACTAATTTATTTATTTAATGTATTCATTAATTTCACTTTTAAATTTACAATTAACTAAATAAAATAAAGTGCGTAAACCTATACAGATTTTTCGTACATAATTATTCAACATACGAGACTGTATCGATGCACTCGCGCGTTTGCATCGATGCGATCGCGCGCTTGTATCGATGCAGTCGCGCGTACGCATCGCGATGCAATAGCGCGTCTCAATTGCATCGCTGCTACAAGGCGCCAAATGTGACCTCTTATTACATTGAACACTTTTACATTGCCCACGAAATGTAATGATTAAATGAATATGAATATATATACAAGTGTGAAACAATTCGAAGACAAAGGAAAAGATTTTTACCTGGCTAAGCCAAGAAAAAGTTAAGTTTCTCACAGGTTTCATAGATTTCTCACAGGTGGCGCTACGACAAAAAAGCCGGTTAAACCAAAAAACAAATATTTGCCACGAGCACAGAGAAATAAGATCATAAGATCTGCTGATTCATCCCGTAGCTCAGTTGAAAGAGCGGTTAGTAATCGTTCGTTAGGTCACTTTCTCAAATTTTGCTTGCAGTGCTTCTATTAAATTATTGTTGGCTATTTTAGTCTTAACATATGCAACCAAATAGAAATCTTTTACAATTTTAAAAAAACTTGTTCTTTGTAATCATTGACCTACCAATAAATGGACGTCGCGTTCGCACTAAAAAGTGTCCGCACCTATAGGGCGTTAAAATCGCATGCAGAGCGTCAATCGCGCAACACTCTTCGTTTGTTCGGCGGACAGCGCGGTTGTCAATCATGCTGTACCATATAACAACAACTTGTAAAAATTACTGCAGTAAAGTGTATAAACAGGATTTTGTATCATATTTTCACTAAACAAATATATTGTGTTATCATAGTTCTCCTTTAAAAGTCTTATTTTGTACAGTTTTATAATATTTAATTTACATATAAATGAATCGTAAATATAAAATACAAAAGCACACAAAATAATGAAATAGCTAAGTGTCCTTTTTCCACACATTGCATTCGCAAAAGATGGAAAGAGACCCATTGCGTAAATTTCAAGAAGCCTATATAAACTTCTTGGTCATTTTCAATTGTTCGAACCACAAGCGAATCTCTACAGTTTCTTTGTTCTAAATATGTCAATGTATTTGTTTAGTGAAAATATGATAAAAAATCCTGTTTTTACACTTTACTGCAGCAATTTTTACAAATTATTGTTATATAGTACTGCGTGATTGACAACCGCGCTGTCAGTCGATTAAACGAAGACTGTTGCGCGATTGAAGCTCTGTATGCGTGTGACACTTTTTAGCGCGAACCTGACGTCCATTTATTGGTAAGTCAATGCATCGAAACATAATTTTACGTTGCTGAAAAGCTTTATTTAAGTAAAGTACTTAATATTCTTCTTGGCTGTATCCATTAAGGTTAATTTTAGAAACATTCTAGAAAGTTATCCGATTCATATTGAGCAGGTGGTAGTTTAGTACACAGTATAGGCATATTTGTTATTATTGCACTAAATATTACAGCTTAAAAATTGATTGTTGCAAACACAAGTATGTTTCCACGGTACTTTGTAATTACGGTTCCATATCTTAATAAAATATAGTGAAAGACTAAAAGGAAAAACACGGATTTTATTTTCTCACGAAAGATTGTATTGTTAAAATTTGGATATTGATTTAAAAAAAATTTGTAAATAAAACTATAAAGAATAAAAATTAAAAACACATAATTCGAAATCCAAAATTCCAAATTCTATTTGAAACAGAATTTCGACAAAAGGGCAAACGTCATTTAAATCTACTACTCCGTATTTTATTACAACGGTTGTTAATAATAATAATACGTCTAACAAGCACACCAATTACCAGTTCTAAAATCTAGGGAAACTAATCACTGTCACATCAACTAAATTATTCCGGGACAGTCACTACCCAGGCCACCCAGACCTGGACCCCGGTTCAGAACTTTTCGATATTTTAACCGAATCGTTCGATTGGATGTCGTTCTCGAAACGAAAGGGCGCTTTCCGAGCGATTCAGAACATTAGAGTTAAACGTTCAATCCGGATTTTGTTACGTTATCGTTATCCAACAGCGTTTACGGAGTTGGTGAAATAACATAAAAAAATGAAAATCCTTTTAAATACATTTTGAAGACTTTAAAGGCTTAAAATATGAATGAAGCAAGAATGTGATATGGAAATCTTTTATTAAAAATAATAAAAGATTTCCATATCACATTCTTGCTTTGTAAACAATAGCACGTTCGGTAACTTTTATCCGATAATTGTGTTCTGTAAGTTCGAGTGATCGTATACCCGTACGACGTCATTTCGGTTTGGTTTCGAATACGACAGTTTGACGTTCGATTCGGGTGTTGTGAATAAAAATGAAAAGATATCGGTCGACAACTGAGCTATCGTAAGGTTCTGAATCGAACCCCAGGATCGATTTAGAAAAGTTAATTTCCTAAATTGGTCCTACCCATAGGTCTACGGTCAGCCGTGACCATGGCACCTGTAAAGAGCCCGAAACGTTAGTTTGTTTGAAAAAACAAATATACGCGATTCAGATCTGAAAAACATACTTTCATTTCCTGTAAATCTTTATTCGATGAATATCAATATACATAATAATAACACATAATGCTCTGGCCACACAGAGGCGGCCGCGGAAGCGCGGCTGACGCGCGGACGCCGCACGGTTCAGTGTGGCAGGGTTCATATGAACTCAAACATTATAAAAATTCCCGCGTCCGGAACTGTTCCGCCGCCGCCTCTGTGTGGCCAGAGCTTTATATGTCTCTCCCCTACCAATGCTCAAAAACAACTATACACAAAGGTACAAAATCTTCTCATAATAATACATGGACAACCCTTACGGTTTGTAGTCAGGCGAGGGAAGCACTCCCAACGCTCAACGCCTGTCTACCTCGAAA